AGGATGTAACACAGCGTCTGTGTAACATAAAAGATTCCGGTAAGCACTGCTCGATAGTACTGTCCTTGTAGGTTATCGTGCGTTCAAGAGTAGCTGCAGACTGTCTTCCAAAAGAAATGGAAGCGTTGGTGAATTTTGGAAAAATCACGGGTTTCTAGATTCTACTCGCCGTAACTTCCTTCGGAATGAACATATTCTGAATCCGAAGAAAACTTTGTGCTCAGTTCATGAAGGCAAGTCTTTTGATATACAGCATATCCTTGATATTCCGATTTCAATATTCTTAAATCTTTCTGCAGACGTCTTTTCGCGAAGGTGTAAAGCAGCGCGCATTGCCACTAGTAGACTCCAGCAAGGACCTTTCGATATTACTTTTTCTGTAGATTATGTAGCGCTAAAAAGTAGTCACAGGCATCTTTCCAATGGGGGTAGAAAGGCTGATAAATCGTAAAAAAATCTCGTTGTCCCAAATTCTACTCGTCGCAACCCTAGAATACGAGGCTATCTTGCTAAGCAGATGTGAGTTTTGTAATCACCAGGTCGGATAACTCTTATGAACAAGTTTTCCGAGATGTTCGGGTGATTTCATTTTTTCTTGTTTTGCGCTCTGAAAGTGGCCGGTGGATTTTGGTCAAAATATTGATGATCTTGAATTGTAAAGAAACTCCGCTCATAGAGGTATTCGAACACGCTGCTTATGAAAATCGTGTTCTCTGTCAAGTATAGGGTCTTTTTGCAGAGATATGGTGAAATAACTGCAACGGATTCACAAAAGCTCGTAACTTCGCCTCCACCTCTCACGTATCTGTCAGAAAACCTGCCTGCTTGCTTTTCCAAGTCAAAGTTACTAGGAACTGTGCTATCGAATGGTGCATGACTCAGGCTCCAGTCTATGAAAATCGCCGAGTTACGAGCCTACGAAAACACGCCCTCATGAATATTGCCCAAAATGTAAAAATCGCAAATGGTGCTTGCGTGTGCTTCGGCTGCTCAAATATCAAAGCTATTCCGTGACTAGAGCTCAAAATACCAAATCTAAAACAACAAGTTACATTAAGAATGTGAAAATAACTGATCAGCGTGTTGTACAAGCACTCATGGTGGAATTTCGACGAAATATGCGATCTTTACATTTTGGGCAAAATTCATGAGGACGTGTTTTCGTAGGCTCGTAACTCGGCGAATTTTATAGACTGGAGCCTGAGTCATGCACCATTCAATAGCACATCTCCTGGTAACTTTGACTTATTAAAGCAAGCAGGCAGGTTTTCTGACAGATACGTGAGAGGTGGAGGCGAAGTTACGAGCTTTCGTGAATCCGTTGCGTTATCTCACCATATCTCTGCAAAAAGACCCTATACTTGATAGAGAACACGATTTTCATAAGCACGTGTTCGAAAACCTCTATGAGAGGAGTTTCTTTACAATTCAAGATCATCAACATTATGACCAAAATCCACCGGCCACCTTCAGAGCGTAAAACAAGAAAAAATGAAATCACCTGAACACCTCGGAAAACTTGTTCATAAGGGTTATCCGGCCTGGTGATTACAAAAGTCACATCTGCTTAGCAAGATAGCCTCGTATTCTAGGGTTGCGACGAGTAGAATTTGGGACAACAAGATTTTTTACGATTTACCAGCCTTTCTACCTCCATTGGAAAGATGCCTGTTGATGCCTGTGACTACTTTTTAACGCTACATAATCTACAGAAAAAGTACTATCGAAAGGTCCTTGCTGGATCTACTAGTGGCAATGCGCGCTGCTTTACACCTTCGCGAAAAGACGTCTACAGAAAGATTTAAGAATATTGAAATCGGAATAACAAGGATATGCTGTATATCGAAAGACTTGCCTTCATGAACTGAGCACAAAGTTTTCCTCGGATTCAGAATATGTTCATTCCGAAGGAAGTTACGGCGAGTAGAATCTAGAAACGCGTGATTTTTCCAAAATTCACCAACGCTTCCATTTCTTTTGGAAGACAGTCTGCAGCTACTCTTGAACGCACGATAACCTACAAGGACAGTACTATCGAGCAGTGCTTACCGGAATCTTTTATGTTACACAGACGCTGCGTTACATCCTTGCGAAAGGACCTCCACAGAAAAAATTCGAAAAAACTGGAAATGGAATATCGAGAGCATACTGTATACCAAAATATTTGCCTCGACGATCTGAACACGATGCTGCTTCTGGATTCAGAATATATTCATTCCGAAGGAAGTTATGGCGTTGCGTATTCTGCGTGATTCGCATGGTTTCGCGGGCCCTGAAATGTCGCGAACTTCCCGGATTATCACGCACTCTGGCGGGAATCCCGGAATTCCGCGAAGTTCACGGAAATTTTGACATTCTATGAGCGTTATTGTGATCTTGAGCAGATCTTAGAACAAATTCGATCAGAGTGGCTCTCTACCATACTCCTATAGTATGCTGTCTATGTGTCATCAGCGACAGATCAATGGTAATACTGTTATCAGCACACTGAATTCAACCAAAATAATAATCGATAATTCTGAAAACTAATATTGTATTCGGAATCCCCATGCTCACTTACCCTCCCCCTGTGCCAACCTCAGCCCCGTAGGTGAACTGCAAAAAAATCAATAAAAATCAATAAAAGTAATCGATAATCCTGCAAACTAATATTGTATTCGGAATCCCCATGCTCACTTACCCCCCCCCCCCGTGCCAACTCCCGGCCGCGTAGGTGAACTCTGCAAAAAAATCGATAAAAATCGATAAAAGCGATATCGATCGATGACGAAAAGTAGCCTATGACACCCGCCGGGGCCCGAAGTGTATGCGTGCCAAGTTTGGTCCGGATCGGTTCTGAAATGGAATTTTCTATTCGGAACATAGTACAGACAAACAGACAAACAGACGTTCAGCTTCATATATAAGATGATGCGTCTCGCCGAGCTGAATCGAATGGTTTCCTCGGATTCAGAATTCGTCCATTCTGAAGCGAGATATGGCTAAATTGACGATCATTCCGACGGACTCTAGTGGAGTGTGGCGCACTCTGCCGCACTCCGGCGCACTCTGCCGCACTCTTGCGGACTGCGTCGCACTCCGGCGCACTGCGGCGGAGTGTGGCGGAGTGCGCCGCAGTCCGGCGACTTTTTTGACGAATTATGAGCGGCATTGTACTTGTGTTCTACTACCACCATAGTACTCAAATAAGTGATTCAGAAATGTGGAGTTCAAACCGATAAGTGTGAGCATCACAATTTCTAATTTCTGGAAATTTCGAGGCTCATTTTGAGGACGTTATTTAAAAATTCAACCTATGCTTGATGCATGTGGGCGAGTGAGCGTTGCAGAAGTTTCCGTTTTCAATCACAATGGTCAAGACCATGTGGATGTTCACATTCTTTAAGCAAAGCTTTTCAGTTACGAGTTCTCACGAAACCCCTGCAAATATCGGTTGTCCTGGAACTTACTACGGATTAGAGTGTATGTGCTCCTTATAATAGCTTTACACCCGGAAGGACAATTTCCTATGCATGAAAACTGGGTCGACAAATCATTCAAGGATCTGGATATGTTAAAAACGAGGTAGTAAAAGTACTTTTCTGGATTGACAGATTGCCAGGCAGATACGCCAGTAAGATTTGGAAAAGATCACTGCCATTTTAGCATAATTGTTCATGAAAGGGGAAACAGACCGTAAAGAGTAATTTTTGTTTCTTGTATTGAGCCTCATCAGTCTTTCCGATCCTAAGTGCAAGCATATATCCCCACAAAGAATGATACTTATTAACCAAACTCGCGGCCAGCATCTTCCTTTGATACCCAAATCTGGAGATTTAAAAATAGAACACATAAGACAAATAATATATCAATTATGCAAAGGAAGACAAAGATTAAACGTCACCGCGCTCAAATATGTCATGGAACTCGAGAAATTTGTTTAATTACGTCAAGCAAGCGTCAAATCCTATAGGGCTAGAAAGAAAGTCTTTTGCATTGTTCCAGTTTCGCCTGAATGAAATTGAAAGATTCTTCTACCATGAGTGAAGGTGGCTGAAAGAAAAAATTGAATTCAACCGAAAATAGCTACGTTATATACCAGACGTCAAAAACTGTCAGAGATATTGTTTTGAGAAGGGAAAAAGGGTAGAGCAAGGGTATCACTTTGGACATGGCATCAGCACATTACCGTAGGAATACCGGGGTTTAATACAGTTTGTAGGAAAAAGGGGCACGACCGTGCTAAATTTTGCTGTTTTTATTTGAGATAAAATCTTGGATGTTTTTTTAAATACTCCGAGTATGTCCAAATGAAGCCAGACTATTGGCAAAAACAACTTTCCAAGCTTTCCATATGGATTCCCAACGAAGCACATAGAAAGAATAATTTTTGAGATTTTTCAATTTTTTTCTAATATTTTTTCGCCCCTCGGAGAATCCTAAGGATGACTACTGCTGTAGGTCAAACAATGTCGAAGAAAAAGCAAAAGGGAGGCGGAAAAAAATTTTGAAAAGAAAAGATTGAGTTTTGTTAACAAAACTGTTACAAACTTTATGGCTACGTGTGTATTTGCGGCATTGTCTAGATCCTGATATTCTCCAGGGTCCGGGGCAATTATGAGATTTTTGAAAGCTTTTGTAACTTAAATACGACTCGACCTTATATGTCGCAAAACAAGTCTCACCCCACTCCTACGCCTCCCCGGGTTCACCACCATTAACGATCTCTTTCGAGTCTTTTCGTCACTAGATGTAAGAGCGTGAAGAAAAGTTGCAAAGCTCTCGCAAATCTCGAAAAACTACCAGGAAATTTCGCTTGACTATGCAAGATCTCGGCTCTTATGCGGCAATTAGCTTTTTTTCATTGACATGCCTAGCCCTAACCACCTGCAGATTCGCTGATTGAAAATAGTCTCAAGCTCTTGAGCACACAGATCCCCCGAGCACCAGCTATATACCCCCGCCCCTTTGAGCCTTGAGGGCGTGGTCATCTGCTATAAAAGAAATACCTCAGAGGGTAAAGTCTTGTTCGTTTCCACACACACATCAGCACAAGATGCACTCAGCTGCCATCTTTCTGTTCGCTCTGCTTGTTGTGGATACCAGTTACTGTAACGCACAACAGTATTCTTCTCTTTTTGGAGGAGAGCCAATTCTAGATGGAGTGCGGCTAATGCAGTATAAACGTTAGTTTTTTGTCGTTCCTTTTCACAGTTTCAAGCAAGAACTTTACTCAAATTTGAAACCTGAATAAAATGCCATAATGAACAAAAAAATAGGGGAAGCGTAAAAAACAGCGATGAAACAATTTTTTTAGACATATTTTCTTTGTTATTCGTATAAGGTTGGCCGATATCTTGTTTCCATTGGCAAGATAAAGAGCCAAGATAAACTTTTTCGAAAATTTTCAAATTCGACTACTAAGATTTCCATAACAAGTTCTACAAGAAGCATGTAGAAAGAATTTTCAAGATTGGTTTTTTTTCTGAGTTTCACTTTTTCCAACTGAGTAAAAACGCTATTGCCGCTTTAGGAGAGATGCTGTCTGGTTTTTGAAAAATTGTAAAAAAGAAAACAAAAGCTAGAGGAAAAGCAGAGAAAATCTCATTTGAAATAAAAGAAAATTTTTAAGTTTACCAGTTGTCGTCAACTTCCTGATGTGTGCGTTTACGGCCTTATCACGTCAGTGGCAAACTCTGCTAGTTCCCAGTAGGCAAACTTGAGATTTTCAGTCTTTTTCCTATTCTCGATATTCCTCAAACATTACGAGGAAAACGTGCAAAAAAATTTTAAGCCATATTACCATATAACTAACCCACCCACTCTCATTTCCTTTCCATTTTGCCTTCTTTCAGTTTTGATTAGATGTTATAAATCTTAGCAAGTAGTTATCACAGTTTTGATAATGGAGCTCGCGCACGCAAAACGTCAAGGAAAGGATGTAAAAGCGAATATATTGTGGGTTTAACAAAAATAATCTACATGACGTTCTCTAAGATAGTACCAAGTGAATTTTACTTTTGGAAAAAGTTATGGATAACTTGAAAGTTAATATGGGTAACTTGGTTCATAATGCTGGTTGCTGATACTGGGAAAACTACAAGGAAAGGACTGAAAAGACGTCTCTTGAAGCAAATATAGCGCATTTTTTAATGTTTGCTACCTTACACGCTAGCGCAGATACTTCAAAAGACGAAACTTTCAAGTTACCCATATTTCTTAAAACATTTTTTTAATCAATCTCTTCCTACTTTGCATGACATTCAAGCTGTGCCACTTAATGTATTATAACAAAAGTGCATATCATCATACAATTACTCCAGACTTGTCCACAAAAAATAAAGGATAAAATCTGTGTACGATATATAGGGCGACTTCAATTTCCTTTGTAGCTACGAGCCACAGATTTACTATCCCTTAAGGATATGCAAATGAGCACATGCTTTATATGTACAATGAAATGCGCAAGAGATTCGTCAGCTAAGCAGTGGAGGACCCATTTGAAAGTCGTAAGTTCTAGAGGGATATGTGCTTAGACTTGACATCCTCTTTTATATGGCAAATCCCATTTTGCTGACGTATTTGAAGCTCTAGAAAACTACATAGCCTTCTTTCTACTTGCCGTATAGCCTAGAATCTTGTGCGTCAAGAAATCATAACAGCCATCTCCCCATGCCATGCCAAAGTCTCCTCAAGAACGCGCGTTGCATTGTTGATCTTTTCAGCTCTAACAAAAACTATTTGAGATATGCCGAACTACTCCACATTTGCTTCCGCATTATGATGAACGCTTGAAAACACTTGGTCTTGAATACCTCTCATATCGTAGAGTTATTCACGATCTTGTTCTTGCATTTAGGATTTACAGGGGAGAAACTAAACTGAGTCCTTCCAAGTATTGGGTATTCAAGCCTAGTCACGGAAGGACCAGCGGATTTTCTATTTATCTACCAACAAGCGGTGGGCGAAATCAGTTTTGCACCTTATTAGAAAGTGATTTCTTTGTTCGTGCATCGAGAATGCTGGAAAAAATACCAAAAGAACTTTTAGCCTGCAAAAATAGTATATCATTCAAACGTGAAATCAAAAAGCTGAACTTGAATGATTTCTTTCCTTGCAGGTAGAGCTTCTCTTCATTGTTTTATGCTCACTTTGCCAGCCACACGTGCTTTCCTGACTTCCCATCAGCACATGCGTCCGACAATCTCAGTTTATATCTACTGTGCTAGATTTGTTCTCCTACTAACCCAGATTTTTACCGCATAGTTTCGAGCCCAGCCTACCTACTACCACGCACTAGTTTGGTACAGCTTACCAACATAGACCGATGCTTGTCCGATTTACAATATATTTCAAATTTCCTTGGAGCTTTGTACCCTCCCCGGCAAACTGTGTTGGGCGGGGCTGCCAGTATACCCGCCAGCCGAACTTCCGGTTTGCTATTATGAAATCAAAACAAGATCGTTCCTTGCTGGCAAACGAGGGGGCATGGGTACTTCTCCAGAGTGTTTCCCCATAGAGTTCACGCAAGTGCAAGCATTGTTATCTATACGCGTTTACGCAAGCTGCTTCTACACAATCTTTTCTCTCATAAGCTTAGTCTGGGCTTGAAAGATGTGGTGAAATGTTCATTATTGTTGTGTTTCATGTATTATTAACACATTTTTGTCAATGTTTTGGAACGCCTAGAGCGTATCTAATGAAATGAAAATGAAATGAAATACTTGCCTTTTGATATGCTCGATTTCGAACACTTGAAGATTGCCTCCGTCGCAATTTCACGCTCAAGTGAGGTCAACAGTACAAGTGCACTAATCAACTTTGGAGCTTGTTGAGTTATAAATTCATTAGGTCGACTAAGAAAAAATTTCTCAAGTGCTATTGAGTCGTTTCGGTTCTACTAAAAAAGATATCCAGTTCTAACAAGGGAAGTCACTTAGCTTAGGTCGGGCTTTTGAGAAACACATATGGTTGGAATCAGCTTGAAACGCTGATTTCAAATCTGCTTTCCTTAGCTGCGAAGCGTTCCTCTGAAGCGAGTTATGAGCTTTTTCGTGAGCAAATTTTGCGTGTTGACCGACTTAGGCATGCTACGGTATCATCATCTAGGTAGTAATTCAAATGCATATTATATCCTATCAAAGCCAAATGACTCAATTTGATGTTATTTTGATTTTCCACCACTTTTTGGGCAGATTTTCATCTAAAGACCTTCTTTCCATATTCAGTTGTATGTCAATGACATATACTAAAAAAGCTCATAACTCGCTTCAGAGAAACGCTTCGCAGCTAAGGATAGCATATTTGGAATCAGCGTTCCGAGCTGATTCTAAATATATGTGTCACATTTCAAAAGCCTTTTGGGCTAGATGATGATACCGTAGCATGCCTAAGTCGGTCAACATGCAAAATTTGCTCACGAAACAGTTCATAACTCGCTTCAGAGGAATGCTTCGCAGCTAAGAAAAGCAGATTTGAAATCAGCGTTTCAAGCTGATTCCAACCATAAGTGTCTCATTTCAAAAGCCCGACTAAGTTAAGTGACTTCCCTTGTAAGATCAATGAAAATGAAAAAATCAAGAATGACGCAAAGTACTTTTTTGATATGACGCATTCTCAGAAATAAAAAAAGGAGGGAAACAGTATCACTTTTCCCGCCCACATTATAATATACAATTTCACATGGACTTTGTTTTTCAATATATCGTAAGCTTCTCAATTATTTTTTCCGAAAATAAATCTCCCTCTATGTTTACAATGCTGTGAGATTTTCGCATCATAGTTGCGCTGAGTTTTGCTATACTAAGAAAAGCTGAAGTATCTCAGAAATGCATCGTTTCGTTGTTGCGAGATGGGAAACTACAATTCGTATTACCTCGCAGAACGAATCAAAAAATGAGCTGAAAAACTGAAATCATGGGGCTAAAAGGCTATTAATTAAGCGAAATGTTTCCAATATAGCATTTTTCCCTCCTCGATTGATCGAAATTCTCTTGCTATAGCTGCTGGAGCCAATTAGCCTAGCAAATTGCGGTGGAAGAGTTCTTCCACAAATTCTGCAAAGAACTGTCAATATGAATTAAGCGATACGTGAGGAAGTAGAACAATCGATATAATCATTTATTTCATATTAAGATAAATTACAGAGCAACCAAGCTTTATATCTTACTACCGAATAATAAACTAATCCCAGCTCTAAACTCCCCAATCGTTTAAAGGGTTGAATGAGACATCTCAGACAATTCACAGGAACTTCCGCAAGATTTCGCTTACTATTGCAAAGGTGGAAACGTTGACAATGGGAAGCTCCGCAGGATTTTTCAAAAAGCGCTGTGGAACTTCCGAAAAAAGTCAGAGGTTCCGCAGCACTTTGACACGCCAGTACTTCCGCAGGTTTTTGGATGTGTTGTCCGTGAAGATATTGCCTCGCCAACAACCAGAGTGCATTTTCGAACATGTCATCCGCAGTGCAGAGGTAGTAAGTGAGTCTCGCAGTCAACAGAGTAAGGTTCGAATCTCGCTTAGATGTTCTATTTTGCTGTTGGGGTTCGCACTCAGAACTTCCGCAGCACCTGTACAGAACTTCCGCGGATGACCCGACGAAACCTCCCCAAACGCTCTGCGGAAGTTCTGATCAGTTGTCTAAGATGTTGGCTATTTTTAGTTTTATTCTTTGTTTTTTCTTGATATCACCCTCTGCCCACCTCTCCAAACACGAACATGAACAGCTATCGTTCACCCAGATAACCTACTATTATAGAAAATTAGCCTTTTACTCCTACCTACATGGAATCGTTAATGCTCAACTGCACTACTAGAAAATTTATTTCCAGCAATCAAAGCCTTGCTGATGGCCTCTGTTTAGGATGCTAGGAGACCTATACTCGATTTATGCTCCTGTTCATATCCTAGGAAAAGATGGTAAATTCTCGCTTGTGATTTTGTGATGCGAACAAATGCAAAGAAGAAAAAACAGGGCACATTCTCTCCACACTAATGAGTTGTGTTGGAAGACATTAGCCTTAAAGAGCGTGCAAAGAAACTTTTAAGTATCTAGGGACCTGAAGAAAATAGAATACTTTCTGACCACATCATTTTGAAGTTTTTGTAATGCAATGGCGTGAGGCGAAAAATTAAGGAGATATAGAATAGAAAAAATGTTGATGAACCCATATCCTGCACTTTGCTATAAAGGCTTTTCCTTTCCTGATAGACATGAATAGTGATGGTTGTTTTTTTTTTTTTGATAGAATGGGTTAACTTTGCGCACCAAAAATTTTGAATTTATCAATGTCCTCGCATGTCCTTGCAAAACTATTCTATCATTCGTTCTAAAATGAATTTTGACCAGGGCCCGGCTAGATCGTATGGAAGCAGACTGGATTTCACTTTAAGGGCGAAAAGCAAAGGAAATATCGTTTTTGTGGCCAAAAATTGCGACGTTTTCTGGTAGACATTTCTTTTTTTATGAGTTTTTTACGTTTGCAGCTACTTCGCAAAAGTCAAGAGGGACTGCGTTTTTCAAGAAGCCTAGAAACGAACTCATGCCGGGCCCTATTTTAACAAATTCGTGATCAAAGCTTTAGCACATTATCACTGCCAACATCTTCTCTTTATGGATCAAAAGGATTAGCAATTTTCTGCGCCTCGGTACTCGTCCTAAAGCAAGCTTATTTGAGAGAGAAATACATTGAAAAAATTTTGATAGCTATCTTATTAGCTGTTTTTTATGTTCTTTCAAGCGACAAATACCTAAATGGAGTAATGCACTCCAATACTTCTATTGTTTTCAACTTTTGATTACGTCGTTATTCTTCGAACAAAGTTATTCGAACAGTCGCCAAAAGCTTTTGTCGATCAGAAACCAAAATCATTTGAATAATTTGAAAATGTTTTTGTTGCTCAAAACTTAAACTTATTTTTGTTTTATCTTCTCTATTTTTTTTCATGAAATTCCTGCAGAGTAATGCGAAACAGTAATAAAAATGATAAATCTAATCTTGGTCATGTATGGTAACAGTAAAATCAATGTCTGTATGAGTAAAGTATGCTGGAATGTCCGTTACTTCACCATTCTATGAATCAGAGAAAAGCGCACTTGTCGAAAAAATAGCTGTTTTTCTTGAGCTGATTTTTGCATGCAAAACATACAGCCTGAAAACCAAGAGGAATATAATGCTCACTAAATTTTAGAAGTGGTTTCAAACCAGTCCTCCAGCTGAGGTGATGTAGTTCCTAAACTCAAACATTTCGGTGTGCTAGAAACGGTTTAAAAGATCTTTGCCTCAGAAATGAGGTTGAGAGTTTATATGTGTCTAATTTGACTGCGCGACTTCAAAAGGGCTCTGAAAAAACTTCTAAATATGGTATTGGAAGTTAGAGCGTGACCAAATTATTGAGGCCACAATTTTGTTTTATTCTTGAAGTTCTTAGTGCAGAGCAATAAAAACAAAAAGCTTGGGCTATGTTCCAAGAAAATCCCTGCATATCTCAATAAACATCTGTTCACTAACAATTACTTTTTTACTCTTTTCTTTAGCTCTAATCCTACTTCCTTTTCAGCGAAACGAAACTATGACTTTGTACGGTTTGGAAGATCCGGAAGTCCGTCAAAGAAAGCCTCCTACGACTATATTCGGTTCGGTAAACGAAGTGGAACACAAGAAAATTTCGACACCTCACGATATGCATCTATCGATCAACTGTAAAAAGCTGCTATAAAACATTTCATCCCGATTACTGTAGCGACTAATGTCCGCAACTAGCTCGCTACGCTCAATAAATTTCCAATAATGGTACTAGTGAATGTGTCGTAAGTATTAATGAAGATTTCTGTTGTTTGCTTTCCACACTTCTTCTAGGAACAGTTCTTTCTGTACTTCGCTAAAATTACGTCATCTATATGGTGTTCTTGATTCATATTATCTGACACAAGCCCTTAGTATTACTTTACCGTAGTCTGGCAACCAGCCTGCAGGTGGATTTCGAGTTCTCACCTGCCATTTCTTGATTGAGTTGTGATCATAAATATGACATTTCGGAGGATTTTGAGTCGTTAACATATCGGGTGTGAAAAACACAGTAAGTTAGAGATCTCTCAGAGGTTGTTGAAAAACAACAACAATAAGAAAGATCTTTGATGAATTTTGAATTTTATTTTTACAACCTTAAACTTATTTTCTGCACCAGATGCAAATTTTTAATGCCGCCCAGGAATCAGAAAAAAATTCAGCGTTAAACATTTATGACTGAGAGCCACAATCATGAGCACGCAGTGTCTAAACTCAAAAAGTATTTCTGTTTGCATTTCTTATATAAAATTCCCTTTTGCAAAATTTTCTGGGCATTTTTCTACGAAAAGTTTGCAGAGTGTGACGCAAGATTCTCACATCTTACTTTTACCATATTTACTTAGCGACCGAATACGTCACTCCAGCAAGATATATGCTTATTGTGAGAATTGTTGGATAAAAGTAAACTGGAAATGACGACTAGGGATACATAGCCCGGGATGGCATCATAGATGCTCTTTTTATTAACCAGCACTCAAAAAAAGAAAATCTACAGCAGGACATTTGTAGACGAATTTCTATTGTCATTGAGACTGAAGTCACGTGAAGCGGGAGTTGGAATCATTCGCGCAGCAAAAGTGACGAAATTACACACAAATTTATGCAGACATGTCGATTTTGAGCGAGAGGAGAATGTGAAGGGGAGAAGAAAAGCTAGAGAGGACTAAGCAGACCTCCACAAAAACCAACGAATTCAAAGAAACTAAAAAGGGTAAGAGTTACAACTTCAAAATGTTATGCTCCCTTCAAATTTTCTAAGTAGGAAAAAGAATGAAATATCCTTTCTAAAAAAATGTCATTGCTTTTCCACTTTCGCAGAAAAACGAGGATCACCTTCTCTATCCTTTCTCGGCTGAGATCAAACATTTATTCATTGACTTTATTCGTCAGAGATGGTGGTACTATTGTTGGAATTTTTGTAAGAATGAAGGAGAATGGTGCTATTTATGAATTAGTGTGAATCAATTTCTAGACTTCAGTGACTAATTAGTTTTACGAATAATTTTGGGGTTATCAGCAGCTAGAACGTTTATGAAATTTCCTTGAATCACTAGTAGTTACCAAAGAAGTGCAGAGTTGAGCGTTGTTCCAAAGTAAAAAAGGAGAGAAAAAGTTTTGTAAGCGAAACTGACTAAAACGAGTCGGACACACTGATAGATGGTGCTTTACAAAAGTGACTAAGTCCAGATTTTCTAGGATGTTTTTCATATTTTTACAGGACCATAATCCAGAAATTCTGAAAAAAAGAGCGTGTGTCACCACGACAGCCCAAAAAAATTGGGTTAACTTGAATCTCAAGAAATTTTCATACTACTTGCACATTTCTATAACTCATATAAGTAACTTTGAAAAATTTTGCATCACCATCTTATACTAACACAATATGTATTTAAGAAATTTCAGTATAGCGTGAAGTACTCACTTGAGTAACGGGTGATTGCTAGTCCAAAGAGATTCTTAACCTATAAGCTGTAAATTCAATTTATTAAATCCAAATTGTTGAGCTAAAATTATAGGGTCTAGTGAAGCCATAAACTCCTGATTCTTTATGAGCTCGACTCGATTTCACATTTCGATGTGAAGCAAGTCAGACTCATGACTCACGCTGAACTTTGCTCGAACACAAATTGAAATCGAGAAGCGGAAAGAAAGGAAACCCACACTTTTGATTAACACCTACTCATGCTCGAATACCCCATGCGCTGTGATGCGCGTTTCTTCTTGTCTTCGATTTGTGACGAGAAGGATCTACGATCATATAAACACACAATGGCCTCATCTGGAGAGCAAGAAAACAAGAGCACTTTCTTCCATAAAAAAAATTTTTCATGTTACAATATTTGTATATTGTTTGACCATTGAGATTCAGCCCAAGATAACACTTGAACAGAAACAGATATAAGGACTCATTGACTGCAACTGCTGATTCCAAAACTCATAATTAAGAAAATGTAGTGCAATGGGTGAAAAGGTCAAAATAGAGCGTTCCCCAAATCAGACTAAAGGTTCACTGAACCATTTTTTTCAAAATCAATTCATCTAAAGCATTCCTGTGGCCGTATTCATCAACGAACCCAGTAGGTTCCGGAACCTACCGGGTAGGCTTAACCCATGAGATCGGTATTCACGAAGCTAGTGGGTTCGCGAATCCAGTAATGCGTTTTGTGAATATCGATCCAACCCAGCGGAAATTTTTTCACTTACCTGCTGGGTAGCGGATTTCACTGGGTTCTTGATGAATACGGCCACTGAAGTGTCCAGCGAAGGACTAATATAGGCTTAAAAGAAAAACTTTGTGGTTTACCGTGTTTATGAATTACATTATTATATTAATTGATTATATTATTTATTTCTCTTCTGAATTTTGATTTCTTAGCGCAACTTTGGGTGCTACCGAAATGACTCGGATCATTTTTGGAACCCCTGACCGCCTCAAGTTCCGAGGACATTCTTTTAAGGTTTCATTCTTTGATTTTCACATATGACTACATATACTCTCACTGATGGTCAAGCATCATCTTCTTCTTGCGATAGGCCATTTGCGACATGACTTTTCCACTGGCTCAACCTAGTTATTGTTCCACCGTTGAGCTTCGCTCCAACTTAATTTCAAATATACATATAAACGCCTGGACTTAATAACAAATTCCAATTTATCAACAGCAGACAGATAAAACACACTCTGAGATAATCTGTTATGTGCGAGAGTCGAAATTGTGACAGGCAGTACATTATAGATAACACAGTGGCCGCTAGACATATTGGGTAGGTTAAACAGTTGAATCCTACCAAGCCTCGCTTACTAATAATCACTTTACCTCCCTAATGCACCCTACTTATTACCGTAATCGTATACTTCAACAATACGCATGAAAGCGCCATGAGAAGCGAATATACAGTAGCTCGGACGAGCATCGGAGTCCATCTAGAGTTTAGCTCCTTGACAAGTGCGTCCACATAAAAAACGCACAATTTCAGGGAAATTTTTTCAAAATTTGTGAATCGCTCTGGGGGCTGAGCTTACCTTTTGCTCCAGCTCTTCCTTTGACCCATTATTATCTATGAGATGCGTGGCTAGTTCCATCTTCTTTTTTATAGGCATTTGAGAAGCGATACGAGCGGCAGCGTCTTCTCTACTTAAACCGTCTCGTAACATTAGACGATTCATCTGCACTTCGTCATCGCTGGAAAAATACGTGGGAGAAATTCAGGAAGTTAGCAAGGCAGAAGAATTGCAGAAATTAATACTTTACGGCCCAATTTTCTGAAGGACAATTTTTATCTATCAGATAGGGACTCACCACCATACAACAATAATCGTCCCCAAAATTTTCTGATATCCTGATTCAATAAGAAGCGGTGTGTCCAGCACAATTGTATGAGTTCCAAAAAGAATATACTTCATGATCTGTAGAAACATTTCCCATCGGATAGCAGGATGAAGTACGCTGTTAAGCTTACGACGTTTCTGGAATAATCAAATCAGTTTCTTATTGGCCAGTAAAATATAAATTGTACCAACTTCTGCATCTTTAAATACGACATCACCGAGCTTCGTACGATCAAGTAAACCAGTGTTGGGATCAAAAAATTCCGAACCAAATTCCTTTCGTAATCTCACATAGGCCGAGTGTCCAGGCTGCACAACTGAAGAAAAGGAGATTTTTGAGACATTAAACCACCACAATTTAACAACATTAAACAACAACATTGATCTATCTCCAGATTTGATAACAAGTGCCATTTTCAAAACTCTGCCTCACCGCACTCAAAGGCAGCGTCCACGCAAAATCTAACCCCTCAATTAGTACCCTACATTTAGGCCCTAGGAGAGGGGCATCTGCTTGGTCTGCTCTTCCAATCCTGTCTCTGAATGGAAATAATGGACCTTGAACCGCGAAAGTGCCATCAAGACACGCCCATTCAGGTAGTAAAAGCCGTCTGGGTAGAAGCTTACACAAATCTTGGGGTTTGCACATTTTGAATCTCATAACTGTGATAAGGGCCATGCAAGGCCCCAGAATGCCAAGATTCCAAGAATGCCAAAATGGAAGGCAATAGGGAGATGCTGCCTTTGACTTGTTCGCAGCATGATCTTTAATGATTGAGAGGAAAACTCGTCCTTCAAGAAATAGCATGCCTGCTATTTCTTGAAGGACGAGTTTTCCTCTCAATCATTAAAGATCAGGATGAACTTGGACTTCAACACACATTGCAGGCATGCATCATTCTATTTCATAGTCAAAGAAGTTACCGAAAGTGTAGGAACATCTACAATCACTAGCGATCAGTCGGTTACAAGTCAGCTTACTAATTTACCATCGCCGAGAGGTAGAGGGCTTAGTTGACTCACGGACAGGGATCGATCCACTGATCTCAACAGATCATAACTGAGCCCTATCACTAGGTTCCCCCTAAGTGAGATTCGGTGAGCATTCAGGCTTGTCTTACGGCTGACTAGACGGCTGTCTAATACTGGTCTCTGATCGTTTGATAGTTTCTAGTTTATGCTTACTACTCACGCTATAAAATAAGAAGGGGCACTTTAAGGCCAAAACAATGTTCGTATAGATTTTTCAAAATAAAGGGGGGTCTTAAATCAACTCCCTTCCAAACTCATGTAGAACCTTAACATAAATGTCCATTATTCCGGATTTACTACGTCGTAGAGATTGTAAATGGCAGAACTTCTGCAGAATATCTGTTTTGCTGCTGTCCGTGTCGCTATCCGCACAGTTCTCCTTCTTCCTGATCGTATAGCTTAGAGCTTGTCAAATCATTTTTTGAAACTTTCATCAGTCAACTGCTTCGTAAAACATCAAAAATTATACGCCAACTGGAATCTTAATACTCACAACCGCTCCCCCCCCCCCTCCCCAAAATGATGAATGAAGACCATCGTCATAATCGCACTCCTTTTTGTCTACACTAGAACATGGTTGCTGTAGGTTTGCTATTTATAGTAGTACTGAGGAATACAGCTGTAACACTCTAAATTAGCAAGTAGCCTATGACACGCTCCCTGCCCCGAAGTATATGTGTGCCAAGTTTGGTCCCGATCGGTTCAGAAATAAAAATTTCTATTCCGCACATACGTACAGACATACATACAGACAGACATACATACATACAGACAGACATTCAGCTTTATATATAAGAAGATAGATGTGTTTAGTTCAAGCTACGATACATAACTTCAAACCACTACTACAACTTCGTGCAGAGCACAACCACTTCTTCTAAGATACCTAGGAAATTCATCATCTCACACTGAAGAAGGCGATGAGATATACAAAGTGTCCCAAAAAATATAACCTACTGTTTGATTGTTAGTAAATATCACGTCATAGTCTTTCAAAAAGTAGAGCTGGCTTCAACTTAGATTTGGAGTATAGAGCGAACCACCAATCCCTCTTCATTACTGTAAGGTTACGGTAGAAATTCCGGCATATGGCGTCAGTGTGAAAAAGCTGTCATTTCGAATAATTCCAAAAAAATTGACAACTAGTATAATAGGTTTTTCATGGAAGTTTGACTCAAATTTGTACAAAATTGTGAAGCTTTCTAAGTGGAGTAACTATATTTATTTAGCAAAAAACGAAAAAACGGCTGTACTGCCTACCTGGCGTAATCTTTTAATGAAGCATTATAATGAGATGTAAATTTTATATTTATTAGGTTGGCACCAGTGGCGTCCCCGGAGAAAGGGTCGCGAAATTTTTGAAAGTTGCTTACATGAGTTATAAGACTGTACAAATGATTTGTTCATACTTGTAAGCAATTGAAATATTTTTGAAAAATTTTTAAAAATCGGGAGCGTGGCTGACGAACGCCCCCTTTTTCTGAAATTTCGGGGTTATGAGCCCGCAAAAATTTTTGAGAGCATACAAAAAAAATTAAAAGTTCAGAGTTCAGCTAGCCTTAATTTTGCCCTACAACTCATCATTCTGTCCTTAGGAAATGTGTCAAACTTTCTCACAATTTAAAATGGTGAAGCCCAAAGATGAATGCCTCCAAATGCCTGCTAGCATGTCAAAATTTTCACAAATTTGAAACATATAAACCCAGTCGGATGTAGGCGATACATAGCCAACTAGAAGCACCTGACAATACTGCACGAATCAGCTCTACAATTCTTTTCTAAATTTTTACAGTACAAACTTGCAACCTGACGAATTTCTGAAAAAAAAAACATCCCTTGCCCCCAAAGAGTCTCAAAATCGACTACTCCTTATTTCCCACGCGAGGATATAAATGCACACCTTTCCTAGCTATCAGATCTGCATCCACGATATGTAGCCCGCGTTTTTGGAGCATTTCAGAAACAGAACTCTTTCCTGTGGCAATGCCACCAGTTAGACCAACGATGACCATCTTAGCTGAATCAACAACACTCACTAATGCAAACCGCACCCGAATAACTCAAATAAACGGCGACACCTAGCGTCAGTAAGCTCATCAAATATATAGTCGATATATTTGTCATATTCATTTTCTTCAAAACAATGTTCAAAAAGAAAAATTCGTAACTTTGTCTGTACTTACGAATGAGGAAGACTTTGAGGACATATAGTATACGAAATACACGGCGCACGATACACAATCATTCCTCTTTTCATTTAAAATTCACCTCCATCAACTCTACATATACATACAGACAGGAGGCGTGCGAGCGCGCGCGTAGCACATATTTTCGGAAGAAGTAAATATAATAAACACATTGTGAGTGAACCAGAGATAGAGCGCAAAGAGAAGACATCATTGGTGGGGGGGGGGGGACATCATAACATAGGAGGGGTTCAAGAAAAATTCGCAGGTATGAATGTATGTGTACGTGTGTGTATTTGTGTGTGGTGGTTCACCCGCAATGATCAACTAACAGAACAGAACAAATATGAGGGTGATGGAAAAAACTTCATGTGAAATGGGAGCAGATAGGAAGAAATCTAGAGGAGACATATATCGATGGTGCCTGTGTGGGGAGCCAGTCCGTGAATGCTACAAAAAGAGTTCCCATGAGGTTATATGTGTGTATGTGATCGAAGAAAACAAACACTACAATTCGGTATGAGAGAAATTTGGGTATCAACAACATGCGATTTTTGGGAAGGCTCAAATGCGAAATGCCATAAAAAGAGGAAGGAGTGAAGAGTATCGAGGGCGGTGGGTACTCATGCATACGTATTTGGCCCCTAAGGACTACATTCGTGGGCATGAGCTCCAAAAGCACAGTTCGGTATGTTCAAGAATAACTGTGTAGGTCTTCATTGCAAGGGCGCTAAAAATTTGCAAAGCTTAGAATCGTCCTGATACAGAAATTACCTATTCCACAAGTGCAACAGACATCAAAATTCTACTTTGGAAAGTCTTCCAGAAATTATCCTGTCAGCTCTGTAAAATAATCTGGCCTATCTCGTTTTCTCTGGCTTAGTGCACACCCTTGGAAAATTTTGTTCTCAATTCTCGTCATCCTACTCATAAAAAAGGAAATTCTTAAATTCTGTGGAAACTTGGATTCAATGAAAATTTCGAGACATCACGAACTGTGCTTATAAGGTATATATATAGTTTGAATACAATAGTATGAATCAATGAACGCGGTAAACTGATAATGTAACTCATATATGAGGTAAGTACGAGATGCTTCATAACAAGGCGGACACACAGACAAACAGAACGCATAGACGAGGAAAAGAGATGACCATATTTGATGATGTTCCGCAGAGATTCGATTGAAGCATCCGCGCATGATGAACAAACGTGTTTGTGCGTTGTAGAATAGAACGATCCATCAAGAAGCTGAACAAGACATCGGACGTGGTTCGTACGACACCAGACAGATCACACTTTCTTCAAGAGTATGTACGCGTGACCGGCGGCGAAGTAAGGACGGTCCGAGTCTTGCTACTTTCCCATGCCACCAGCGCCTTGTACCGAGGTGTTCGCGCCGCTTATCGGCGGCATCATGAAACGGGCCAATAAATTTGCTGTCGAATTTCCGGCGAGGTACTGTTGTTGACTATGCTGCGCTTGACTCAACAAGAACTGCGTTATCAGTGGATCCTGAAAATAAAGCAAATAACACTACACTTTTTAGGAAATCAAAGAAACCCTCACCATCGCATTTCCTGTGCCCAACATTTGGTTAGCGCTCCTGCTCAAAAATCCGCCATTTATCAGCGGATTCAAAGCTGCTAACCGCTCTGGACTGATGTTTGCTGCCAGTTCGGCAGAAACGACTGCCGCTGAGGTTGTTGGAGGCGCGCCAGCAGGCTGGGATGTCGACGGCGTGGTCAGCGCCACCGTCGTTCCAGGAGCGGGTGGTGCAGATGACACGTTAGCACTCGTCCTAAACAGATTGAAAATTGTAGAAGAAAAAGCCTAGGAAATTCCTACCTCTGAACATGTGGTACAAATCCAGCGCCACCAGGCTGCGTTGTTGTAAATGAAGATGTAGACGGCACCGATGAGGCTTGACTTGGCGGTCGCACGCTGGGTCGAGGAGTTCCGCTGGCCAATGATCTCAACTGAGTCAGCGAATCCTCGACTCCCGGGCCATTAGGACCAGAGGGAGGTGTGGGACCGACACCGGGCACAGACGAACTAGCAGGTACGAGGGGAGAGTGGTGGGGGCTGACTAGGCTAGGTGCGGGTGGTGGCACTTGCGGTTGCGGCGGTGCTACAGCTGCCATGGCGTGCTGAGGCGGGTGATTCAGCGTCGAAGGGATTTGCTGCATCTGCTGCTGCTGCTGCTGCTGAACAAGCTGCTGCTGTTGTTGTTGCTGTTGTTGCTGTTGTTGTTGCTGCTGCTGCAGTTGCTGCTGATGTTGCAACTGAGATGGAGGCGCGCCTAGCGGAACCGATAACCGCGAGGTTAGCGAAAGCAGGTGCTCTCGCCGCCGATTCAATTGCACCAGTTGCTCTTCGAGTCGAATATTTTCGGACTTCAACTGATGAAGGCAGGTCAGCAGCTGAGCCACATCGAACTGCGCCTGCGAAATCAAGAACTGTGACCCTTGCTCCCATTGCCGCTCCAACAGCTGTTCCATGGACGACGGAAGCGTAGAATTTGGTGGAATGCCGCCACCAGTGGTGCCCTGAGGTCGAGGCGCCAATGGACTAGTTCCGATCACATTCTGATTGTTGGGTTGAGCTGAAATGAAGCAAAAATATGTTATAAACAAAACGTTATTAGAGAGTTTCTGAAATACGTGGGTCATTGATTATAAACGCCGCAACTATTCTGAGTCTTTACTTGACTGATCTGTGAATGATTAAGTATTTTCTACATCAATTTCCTGAACTTCGGTCTAATAAAGCACAGAAAAGGAGCAAATCAATGTGATAGAAACGATGGGTGTATGTCAAGAGGCGCGATTTTTATTGCCAGATGGACACCAATTAGCACATAATAAGTGTTTTACGATTTTCTAAAAGTATTCAAGTTCTGAAAGGAGATGTATCAGATTGTTGCATGGCTTGCTCAATCTTAATACCTTGGAATCGGTTTAAAACAGCAACTTTGATGGTCAAAAACCAATGAAAATGCAGTTGAGAACAAATTCGTTAATATTTCGGTCTATATTCCAGCAAAAGTCGCCAAACTCAGCAATTGGTAATGTCAAACAGATGGTAAGCTAATGCACTTTATCTGTACTTTTTGAAGGCTCGCATAGCCCTAAACGGGAGTTTTAAGCTAGTGACAGCCGAAGAAATCGCGCCTCTTGACCGTCTCCCACAATATTTATTATCTGCAACCATTTCGGGCGAGAAAGCAAAAAGTATATCCAGTCTTCGCGCACATGCTGCGTTTACTGGAAAGACATGAGAAATCGATATTTTTTGGCGAAATTATCATATTGGAGACCGAAAATCAAGGAAGAAAAGTTTGCTTAGCACTTATGATGTAAAAAGAAACATTTTGCAAAGGCTAAGAAAAAAGCCAGAAAGCAGCATAGGCATCAAACATCAGAGTTCACCTACCGTTCACAATCGGCGCTTGTTGAATAGGCGGCGCATCGTGTGACGTAGACGGAATGGCGGCAGCATTTGCGCTGACCATACGTCGATCGACAGCAGCGTTGGCGGAGGTGGTGGCGACGGTAACGACGGTGGTGGCGGTGGCGCTCGGCACTGTCCTATCAGCGACTCGCTCGCGATGGAAGTCCGATACAGTCTCGGAGACGATTGGCCCCACCAGATCACGTAACGCCTTTTCGCTTTTCGTTCGATGGTTTGTACGAGGGCGTTTCGCTTTATCGGCATTGCTGCTGCTGGACAGCTCGGGCTTTGCGTCTCGCGGTCGTTTCACTGGAACAGATCGAAACGTCAGGAAAGAACCATCCTTTATCACATCTAGTTTACACTCGACGCTGATTGGCCAGCGGAGGTATATTGTGGTTATTGACAAATGATTGGTTTCGCGCTGTCATTAGCCGTCGCTGCGAAAATTCGGGATATCAGCAAATCGAAACCTATTGGATAGGGCGATCGTAAGAAAATCAATAATTTTCGGTAGGACCATATAAAAAAATCAGTCTCCATCCATACAAATTCAAGAAAAGGAAAAATGACGAGAAGAAAAACTTACCCGCAGCAACTTTGGCATTATTTGGCGTAAGAGCACCAGATGAAAGAGCAGTCGGATCGCCCAAAACTTTCTCATCCTGATGCCCGTTTGAATCTGGCGCGTATCCCGATGCCACCCCTATCCGGTTATGGTTGGTTAGCTCGGAGGCCTGAACAAATAGCTCAGATAGGTTAGAGAACGAAAAAATAGCAATAAAATACCTGAACAACGGCAGCATTCACCAATGCGTTGAAGTTGTTCGTTGAGGGTCCATTTAGGGCATGTTCCTGCTTCACGGCCAGGACTGCGGTGCCGCCACTGGCGAGCGGCGGTGTGGCGTCCAGTGCCACAGAAGACCTGCTCGACGTGGTCAAAGGAGGCGAAAAATTGTTGATCAAATGGGAATCCTCGTTGGATTGCGTGAGCCCGATTACCGACCCAACTTGTTCCGGTCTATAAAAGAGTGCGAATAGAGGCGATGGCAATCACAGCACGAGGTGCGCTTAGGCTAAAGTGCGGAGATCACACCTTGGAATGGGATCAACAAGCATATGACCGCTATTGTTGCTGTTTGGAGGAGTTGGCTCGTACGGGGCAGAGCTTTGCGACGATGACGGGTGTGCCCTTATCCGACAGGGTGGGATCACCTTTATCGCAGGATCAGCAGCCTAAAAAAGATGTCTTCAATACTACTGAGCAAACAATGCGATGATTTGAAACAAAACAGGAAGAAATGCAAATGGAAAATCTACAGCTTGAGAATGTGAGGACAGCGAGATGTCCAAGCAATTGAATCAAATCACATTGCTGACGACATATCGATTTTTCGTTCTCAAACCATTTGATAAGCAATTAAAGAAGTTTCCGCGCGCACTGATAACCCAAAATCGATTCATGTGATTATTCACTACAATAATTAGGGCATTTGGAAGACCGAAGAGATGAAAATGACTCCAAACCACTTCACGATCAAACATGAAAGATCATTACAGATTAATTTAGAAGCTAGAGGGATGCAAATCACTGCTATCGGATACCGTGTTTGGCAAAGGCAAAGAAACGGATGACGTAATGTTGCCAAATATATTGACGCCCACAATTATTGATGAACATATGGTTAAACCAGTCACAAATATTACTTTTTATTTGAAAAAAAAGCAATTTTCTGTAGAACATGGCTATAATGAAAGTCTTCACAAGTTTCGTGCTGTCAAGAAAAATCACTTAAGTATCACTGAAAATGATACTGATATTGTGAATTGTTGATAAATATATCTCAGAAGTGGTTTCAGAGGAACACTGCAGAATTTCGATATCATTAAAATGCAGGAGTTCTGCCTATAGTATAGCAAAAAATAGAGCAAACAACTTTACAGGGAACCAAGGTTCGAAGTCAGGTGATTCTATGATAGATACAAGCCCCAAAATAAATGATACCTTCAAGAGACGGATGCCAAAACAAGATACAGATGAAATCGCAAAAAAAATCAACTTTGTTCATGACCAAGATGGAAAAATTATACTGGACAAATCAGCCAAATCAAATCTTAAGCCCCCAAAAGGTTATAAACCTATCATTGAGGACCCATGCGACAATGGAGATAGAAAAAAAAACCCGAGTTCGTGATGAAATCCTATGCAGCAAAAATTAGAACGCTGCTCTCTCTAACGACGCCTAATCAGTTTCACGTGACACTATGGTCGCAGTGCATTACAGAACTTCAAACCTTTGCAGCGAGAAAAAAAACACAAAAATAAGAAGTGATGCAAGGCTGCTTGCTGGATTCGATGCTACACCACAACTAAACCACGGGGCCCGTTCAAATTGACGGATCATAGGGGGAAATCAATAGAAGTCGAGGTGAGCGCTGCCCCGCTCAAACAGCCGCTCTACGAGCCCCTTTGTCATTCACTAGCACCACACGCGAACAATCACCGCGCCATACAACGATCGGCTGCCAACCTGTCGTCGACCGAATGTGATTCAACAGAACGATCGATCGAGATCGAAAGCATTCGTTTTCGTACTTTACGATGAATCGCTAACGCATTCCATAACGATATGGAAATACGAACAGCTGTATTCTCAAGGCGTCACATTGCTCGCTAGCTCTTCACGCTCAATCGAAGACGGGGCTGACTCTGCTGGACGGGGCTGGCCCCTCATTCGTTCTACGCTCAGACAAACACGACCACACGGCGACCGATTTATCGGCGCAAATCGAAGCACAGCCCGCTGCTGACGGACGCACACATATACACACACAGACACAGTAGAAAAGATAGAGCAGTGGTATTAAACTTTTGCGGCGCGCTCACGTGCAATCATTCATAGCGATCGAGACTCTAGTGGGGCACGCAAAAACGCTTTCGTCAACGGGCAGTCAAAGTTTCATCGAAATCTTCTCTCCCAAGAAATGCAGATGTTGACTTCGGGGAGGGCAAAAAATGAGGCGACTGTAGCAGACAAACTACTAAATATCACAAACTCAGCTTGTACAATGACCTGCTATTTCTGTCACTACATAGAGTATCAAAAGCTCAAGATCTTTACACTGAAGAGGAGGACCCAGTAGTAGAGAATGTAAAAAGAATAGAAACAAAAACTTAGTCATGGAGCACAAAATTGAAAGCCATTTTGTATGTGTATACGCAAGGTCTAAATATACCACAAATACAACGATGCAAATCAATATGCAATACATTGAGTTAGAAAACAGAAAAAAGCCTTTAGTCTCATACAAAAGCTTTCTGCATAGCATTAACCACGAGCCATAATGGCCAATCTGGGCCGACTCTCCTGGGAAAGAAGTGAAAACGTTGTGACTACCAGAGCGTGAGAAAGATTCTGCTGCCAACACCTATCTATTCCAGCAAACATCAGCAATAACACTCTAATTACCAGATAAAAAGCACTGCAAAGAAAATTTGACTCCTCTGCGTGACTTTCTTGCCTTGATCGATACAAAAAGTCATAAAATTCGTCTCATAGATTGAGAACTAAGGCTTATGCAGGAAGTAATTCTCGTTTCTTATTTATAAACGCAGATCAAGAAGAGAAAAAGACCTCGCAAAGTACTGTTAATTCAATGCCCAGTATCTCTACCGCTAATTTCACCTTCCTTTCCCCAAAGATTAGGTCTCGGGGTTACCTCAAACAAATATCGTGAAACTCCCACAGAAAGGAAAACAATAGCGCAACATTTTTTCTGCCATTCCCGCACAAAACGAATTGCCATCTGCTGTATTGCAGTAGCAAATAAAGGTAAACAAACGAGACTAGCAATTTTTTAGTGCCTCAAAGCGATCTGCACGCTCAAATTAGCCGCCTGCCAAATCCAAGGGGGAGTGTGGGGAGGGGGGAGAGGGGGGGGGTAGAGTGTGTTAATGTACGACACCTACCCCAGCTGCTGTCCCTCTCAGTCCTTATCGCCACTACCAATTTTAATGCAGCCGTGCGTCGACGTATTGATTCTGCCGCCAGAACTATAACTCAACACTCGGACGCTGTATTCGAGAGGGAAATTACGTCCCTCGAGAAACATTCACCTAGTACAAAGCCTCTACAGATGGCAGATATGTACAGCATGGAGCGTTTCTCAACAAGAAAAAGGCTAAAAGATTGAAAAGCAACGTCTTGACCAAAAAGAAGATTCAACACAGGTATATGATGATATGAGCAGTGAAAAGCTTGCGATTATGCAAGTGTCGCACCACTTAGTTCCATCAACTGACACGGAGAAAACCTGGTTTACGAAGTCCCACATTAAAGCAGCTATTGTGCCTGTTCTTGCAAAAGACATTTAGAACAATGAAGCCGCGTAACAATATTAAAATGATGTCAAGATAAAAATCAACGAGTTCAGCTCAAAGTTGATGAACATGCAGACAGAAAAAAGTCAGTATTCAGTCTGATGCAAGCAAAAGTTTTTGGTAAAAAATCTTGACCTGCAATGGCTGAGAGCAAAAAGAACGTAACTGTATACGGAACAGACGTCAAAATAATGGTAATATTCTTTGAATAAGACCGTGGCGGCAAACTATCATGGAAAGTTGCGTAAATTTAAGCGTTTCACAGAAATGGGCCTCAGACACTCATGAAGCAACTTCAAGCAATGTAAACACTTATAGCCAACCTATAGGTTATCTCAGTAGCCGTATTTGCGAATTTACCGTAGTCAGTCTCAAATCTCCTTCATATACAATCGTAATCGCGATTGAAAAGCACGATCGAGGTCTCAAGTACTACTTTTTTAAAGCTATGAATGGATTTAGTATGACAGAAACAACACCGCTATTAGCTTCGCCCTTATCACCAAGAAAGCATTGAAATAAGCCTCTCAATGAAACTCTCACGCCGCTAGCACGTGACTTCATTGCCAGTCCGAGTACACCCAAGCAAAGCAGGTGATAATGCAAAAACTTCGTTCATATGCAAAACAACACGCATCAATTACGCCAAAAGTGGCGATTTGTTGTACAAAAAAAGAGAATAAGGGCGGCGACCGGATCGATACCGCGAAACGCACAAGAGACCACGACGACACGCGTTGAACGCACACAAGAGCGCGAGGCTTGGCGTTGGCGGCCTGCCTGGACGCCGGCTGGCTGGCGTCGATGCAGACAACACAGCAGCGCACGGCGGTGACGCTGGCGATAGCGTTGAAGGGGGCGATTGCAACGTCGGAGACGACCGACAGCGAACAGCTATCGATTTCGCCGACAGCCAACAAACCCCGCTGACGCCATCGCCGAGCGCTCATCGCCGCCGCCAGCCGCGACCACGCGCCGCTATGGCCGGCTCAGCGTCGCCAACAAACTTTGGCCTTTGCTGCTAGAACACGAAGCGGTCGAGTGCATAGAAACTCAAAAACTTCTCAACCATTAAAACATCCATCTAATCTTACATAGCCAACAATTCAGTAGTCCACTAAACTTTGCAACCAGTCCGAAATTCAAACAAAACATCTTTCGTTAGCGATTTCCGAACATACCTTGCAACAATGCTGTAGAAATGAAAATGAATAGCACTTGAACATTTCGCGAGCTATATGCAAATCATCTATTCGTGATAGGATACTCCAGAGCGCATTGCACATATTGTCCAAAGAAGCTTGATCCGGATTTAAGCAAGTTGATACTTGTAATCCAATTCATCTAGTTTTGCGACTTCGAAACAGGAATAAACAAGTTCATGTTAAGACAAAGTATGAAAAGCGTCTCGAGTCTCCTAGTCATAAAATAGAGGGGATGTTATTTCTCTCACTTCATCGTGAAAGCGCGTCGCCATATAGTGAAAAAGAAAATGGAAACGAATAATTAGATAATTGGGATGAAGCCAAAACTCATTTAGTATTGCAAATATAGTGCGTTTGCTCGATAAGCTCACATCAGCGAAAGGCAAAACCAGCTGAGTAAACAATGCCGTAAACGCACCAAACACGAGGTATTCATCCCAGATGAATCAAAAAAATGAGATAAAAACCTAGATACCATTTAGAGTATTGATTCTTCGGCAACGCCTCCAACAGTAAATGACTATTTTGAAGAAAGAAGTGCATAGAGCTGCTACCAAAATAATTCAGTGAAGTCGAAAATCGGGAACAGCGAAGTCCATACTTTCGGAAGACGAGATAATTATGATTTAAGAAGATATATTCTATATATTCCATTCTCCTCAAAACGCTAGATGTACAGAAAGAGAAAAAAGTTCAAAATTTCCAAAAAAAAACATAACAGCAGTAAAAAGCAAGTCTTTGACCAAAGTGATGATAATACAGCTCACACTATGAACGATGAATGCAAATTGTGAACAGCATGAAGAAGTCCGTTCCTTCTCCACAAGAAACAGTTCAAACAGAAGCATTTGTCGTCAAAAAATTCTTTTTGAATACAGTAAAACAAATACTTCTGCTATTTGATGCACAAGTATGTCTATTCTCTTCATAACATTTCCACATCACAAATAGTTGCTTTACAAGATTTCGAAAATGTGATATGCAACAGTATCTGCGCGACATAAGCAAGAACTTCCTAATAAGTACTGTCGTGGATGCGAACTTTGCAAATACTGTAATTTCAACGAAAATAGCGTGACTGAATTCACTTCTGGACATAAAGCGTGACCAGTTATACAGAAACACTTGTTCACCGGAAATGAATCTGATGAAAGACCTGCACAAACATTATAGAGGCAATTTTTCCTACCCCATAAATCTTTTATGAAGAACGGTGCAGCAATCTTTCCCTGCCCCCGCTCGCAAATTCAAGCAACGCGACATGTTGACTGCCGTTTCCAATATCGACTCGCGGCAAAAACACTTGTGCTCTGCAAAACAATTCCGCAAAACAAAACGCCGTGTGCACCGACTGCATTTGAACGCTGCCTCGTTTCCGCGCTGACGTCGCAGTAGAACCGGTCGCACAATTGCTCGATTTCATTTTCCCCGTCATAGAACAAGACTGAGAACTTCTAGATCTGAACAACAAATGTACCACGTAACACAAACGACTGTGAATGCACTTTTGCATCTTGTTGCTAGTTTTTTGTTCCCCAACAAACTCGAAGCGAGAATCTTCTGGGAAACGTCTTCTTTAAGACTCTTCTATTCTGTTAGCAACCAGTTTGTCATCATGCTTGTTTTTGCTACAATGCTCTATGTGACTGCAGAAATCGATAAAAGTGCATCCCTCAACAGTGCAGTAAACAAAGATATGGTAATGATGAAATACTCATAAAACAGATTTAAAGGCAGAGCCTTCAAAAGCAAAATATTGCGAATATTGTGAATAAAGAAAGAAGAAAGAATGGAATGAAGACAAAGCACTGCACTAGTAATTAATGATTTAGGGTACATCGGAAACTTTCCCTGACTTACCGCTTTTCTTAGATGATGTTCACAGTACCCACAATACTTCACGTTTTTACTGCCACCACCCTCTTCACACAATAGACCACGTTGTTGCGCACAGGTGACATGAAACCCTCTCTGAAAGAAAAACTTGTCCCGGTGCTTGTTATATTCTGACACGGAAACTCTCTCCAACACGAAAACAGCATTTACCTTGCAGCCTGGTTTGTTGCACGACATGCACGCACCCATCTGTGCAGCTCGTGTGTCACCGGCGTTTGCACAGATGTAGCAGAGTTTCTCGAAGCTATAGAAAGATTAGAAGGATGTATTCGACGCAAAAGGAAAAATCTTACCGTTCCATGGGCACATCGGATAAAATCACCGGATCCATGCTATGTACATCGCCGAAACGTACTTCAGGAATGTAGAGCGCACAAATCACATGTGCCCAACCTAAAAATAAATATTTCATCATAAACATATTACTGATACGATCAAATAAATCATTGAACATTTGATGCTGGGGTCAAAGTTCAAGCAGAACGAGTTCTTGCAAGTAGCAAATGAAGCAGAAATGAGCACTACTCAAAACAGATGCACGCTGAACAAGAGACGAGAAATTCTGGCAATCTGCCCATCACTCAATCGTCGCTGCAGGAAATGGCAGCAGTTGCACGAGAAAAAAAGCATGAAACGGCTTACCCTTTTGTTCAGTTCGCTTCAGCGCTCCATAACCAAAGGGACAAAGTTCACATCGGGCTTCGATGCGCGCTACTCCGTTCGTAGATGGTCCATTACGTTTCAATTCACCGTTGGTATAGCTGTTAGCAGCCACGTGGCACTTGGCACAAAGCCATTCCCCCTCTGGTACCTCTTGAATACCGTAGCACCCTTAAAAAATAGAAATACCATATGACTCGACTCCAAATTCTTGCGCTTTGATGTTACTAATGAATTAAAATTTTGAGAATTCAGACATTGTGTTCGAATAAATTAAGAGAGCTGACAACAAATAGGAGTAGGTAAGGAAAATCGTAAAAATTAACCTTGATGCACCGCCACCTCGCAGCCGGGACCATCACAATAAATAAGGGGATTGTCGGTCCAGCCGTTTTCGTCGGCACAGACACAACAACCACCGAGCATCTCCTTCATCGCGAATGCTGCAAATGAAGAAGTAGATACAATTTCAACTGAGATGTAACAACCTATGTAAAACTTACCGCGATATTTTTGTGAGGAAATAAAGGACTGATGAATACAACGGAGACGAACGGCAATATCACCGATCCACGGTAGATCATCACGAAACTACCGAAGAAATCAGAAAAGCATAAAGCAGCAGAAGAACTGGCTTTCTTCCTTAGTGTAGAATCTGCAGATAAGAATCAAATATTTTCAATAACAAAGGAGAAGTAATCGCGATTATTCAGGCGTAGAAACATTCAAGATTCTGAAGCAGTAAGAACGGAATCCAAAACCCTGGAAAGAAACGGCAACTGTTAATATGGTGCACTATTACGATGTTATTTTCCGAAAAGCCACTTAACTCTATAGGAGACGAAATTCAATATAATGTGAGTATACTTAAAACTTGCAGACTCAATCGCACTTGAAATCCAGTGGCAAATGTTACGGAATACTGCGTGACCTACAAATTAGAGGGCTGAGCAATCTACATGATTGTGAATGGGATCGAAAACCACAGACCGATAAACTTTCTAGCAAAAATGTGTTACACATTGCTGACTCAGAAGAGAGGAACTAATAAACAAGTGATATACTGCGTTCAAATATGCCGCTTACGTCTCAAGGAATTTTTTTAAAATAGATAGCAAATGATAAGCAGCAACACACGAGACCCAAGTCAGCCTAATAACCATTCAAAGGCCCAGAACAGTACTGCAGAACACGTTAATGAGCAGCTACTCGGACTCTTATATCTATTTAGACTGTAAACAAATCAAAAACACGGTTGATATAAGTGTTGCCCTTCCGAATAAGAATCAGATCACACTTTTTGTTGGCAACGAAAAAGGAAACTTTTTATACAAATGAAAGCCATAAATCCGCAAAAATCATAGGAATAGCAAAAGATGTACGTGAGTGCTTACGGTCATATTCACGCACGTCAGAAACCTTAACTATTGCCCATAGAGTTCAGCGTGAGCTACAGTACTTGGAAAATCCAGAAACACGAAGTGCAGTTAACTTCCTAAATAATCAAGAGACCACAATCCTGCACATGCATGACTGCAATCCAAAAAGTTACAATTTTAGGCGTTCAAGTGTAATAAGGGATCGATCGAGCGAAGATAACACGGGGAGGAAACGGGGCGGAGGCGGTGCCCATCGTCAACAACAAACTTTGAGATTCGATCTCAGAGACGCATTCAGCATTGCCACACTCAGCACTTGTAGTATTGAGGTTAAGTAAGTAGTAGTAGGGTGAACCAGCAGAAAAAAAAACGATCGCGTTAGCGCAACGCAAGCGCAAACGACGCCGGCAATCTGCGGCCGCAGACGCGGACTGCTGGAGTAGAGCGTCATCAATCGATAGTCACCACATCAAATGATAAGGGACATCAGCAGTCAGCGCCGACAACGGATCTTTTATGAATGCTGAACGGATTATAAAGTCATAAGGGACAGAATGTCACGGATGGCGAAGCACAGCAACGAAATCATTGACAGATCACAGATAAACAATATCTTAACGGACAGCTAAATCTTTTTTGCTGGTTTCTGCAAATACCGCCGAAAGGCGTCTTTCATAGTCGTGGCGTAGAAAAATCGATAACGTTAGCGCTCTTAGAATTCTAGCTAGAGCTAAGTTTACACGTTTACCATCTAATTAATTTAGCAAAGTATAGAAAAAAGATAACATTGAAACAGACAATGTTTTGAGTCATAAGCTTTTTTTTAAAGCGCAAGCACCCATATACAGTAAAAGCATGCATAAGTTTTTTGTTTTTTCTTCAGCTATTTCGGCCATTGCCATTTCGGCGGACAAAATATTCCGTTCCAAGTTAGAAAGGCAAATCACTGACGCTGACCATTTACTGCTCTCGCGCCTTACTACTGATTATTTTTCCTCTGAAAACTGTTCAAGACTCTCGCCATACAATCTCATTTGATAGATGGCATGATAACAAAGGACAGGCACCTGCACCACCATCACAGAGACGATTGCATGACTTACTGGAACGACAGCCAAAAGAAAAACGCAGTATAAATCATATTTACTTCAGCAAGCACGAAAGTACATGGCAGTCAGCAGAAAGGAAAAAAATCTATGGAAATAAAAAGAAGAACGATTGCGAAATCGTAACACGAATGATGAACGCAGCACTAAAATTTGTTCACTGGACAATGCGGCTGTTCGGGTGCAATTGCACAAACGCACACTGGTCAATATTGAGATCTTGATGCACTCAGGTGAAAAAGTGAACATCTGGTAACAGATTCTAGTTCGGAGATTTCACAGAACGCTCTCAGACATCACATATATTATTATTTGCTCTTTGCCACATGATTCCACGCGAACATGGAGGTTAGCTTATCCAATGAAAATTTTAATGCGAAGAGGGTAACTCGAAATAAACAAGAAAGCGCATGGCGCCTCATTCTACTTATGACAAAATTAAAAACGAAAATTCGGGAAATCAATGCCAATTTTGCATTCTACACCAAAGTTGATATAACGCTTGAACGCAAAAGCTCAGGAATACAGCGGGTAAGACACTAAAGAAACAAAACGGCAGTTAAGAAAGTTTTAAAAAAACTACCCTTTATGTTGAAGAAAAAAACCCGTGTACTCACTCAAAAGCGAAGCTGGAACGAAGCCGAAACTCGCCACTTTTATTACAGTCAATAAACGTGTTGCTGAAGAACAGGATAGCGTGATTATGACAACAGACGAGACAATAATTCATGTTACAGTATCTGAGATTGATAAACAGTGTATAAATATCATCCCAAGCGTATTTGGCAACCCTAGCCTGCTTCAGTCACAGCTAAAATCGTTAAGACCAACAGGCATAAAACTATATGTAGCTTTCGAAAAAAAAACAGATGCGTTTGTGGAATGGACAGAACTACCGCACAGAAATTGTTCACCTACTAAATCGACCCCTTGCCCAAGATATGTCAGCGGGAGATTTGACCAAAAGTGCAATGCCAGAAGTTTGTGAGGCCCGCCGTAATTCAGCAGACAGCCCCTTTCGCCCTTCTCAGACAGCACCACACACGACGTTGACTTGATGTCAGCAATGTGTGCAGCGACGGCGACGCAGCACGCGAGTATTGACTGTGGATCGTCGCCGCTGACAAAACAGATCGATTCGTTCGTTGCTGCGATGCGATGCAGCAGCGATCGACGCCGACGACGTCAAAATCGAGGGGGAGCGGCTGTGTCGGTCGTGTGGGGGCGCGAATGCTGGTTGTTTCGTCTTGTGTGTGTATGTATTGGTTTAGAGTGTCTGAGGCGACCTTCGCAACAAATTCCTTTTTCACAAACTGAGGGTGGTACTTCGTGGAGGTTTTCTCCATGTGATTATTTCCTCTGATCCTTTTCCTCAGGTGGGCGCCTTCACAGAAAATATGCCGAGAAAACACAAAAATTGATCCCATTCTCTACGGATCTTACTCATAACTCCTTCAAATTACCACTATTCAACGCTATAAGCACTTATTATTACACTACTTTCCATTTCACAAATCATATGGGATGTCCGATTGTGTATGCAGTGGACGCAAATGCATAACGTGAGGTACACATTAATGTTTGTTGACAGGGACATTCACACACGCACACACATAAATGACGCCCTACATCGCTCTACACATGACCCTTGGACTTATTGATCGCTTCGCCAATCTTCGGACCTAGATCGACCCTCGAGATTAATAAAAGCCTATCATCGGCTTCAGATTCGTGTGGAGGTGGAGTCTTGCCAACTCACCGCGTGGTGGTTTTGCTAGTGAGAAAGTACGAAAAGCAATGCTATAACGTAGAATTTACCTGTGTTATCAGGTAGAGTCTGCAATACACCCAACACGAATCTGGAAACCAATCATAGCTTTTAATTTCCTAGAAATCCCAGTTCTCGGCCTGACTGACGCGTAATTTTTTCCGAAACAAAAAAACAAGTGAAGCGTAAAATACAAACGGAACCTTGCTATTTCTCTTTTTGCCAAACCTAGATCTCTGCCTATAACATCCAAATTCATGTCAGTGAATGTGCGAGTTACTTTGAAACCTTTTTTCAGTATATCAACCAGCCAAGGTAAAATTCGCCCAGATAACAGTTAGGGAAGGAAAGCATCATGTACTGAGATTGCGAGGAGCTATCCAAAGTTCTCATTTTGTAGCCCACAACCTACGAAATTAAAAGCTCTAGCTTGCAACAAACCCTGCAACTTGAAAATCAACGCAAACGTCAGAGACTCTCAGAAAAGTTGGAAGGAACAAAAAATGTGACGAGTTCGTAAGCGCACTTCGTAAAAAAGTAGTACGCCCAAGCACGCATCGATTGCCACGCAATCGATTGCAGTTGCACTAGGACCTATCACGAACACACTACCGTAGTTCAGGAGCGAAAAAAAAACTCAAGAAGATTGTTGGTTGGATGGGAGAAAGGGAGAAAGAGAGAGATGACAGCGAATAACAGCTCGGCAATACTTCAGCTGAAGCGCAGAGACGGAAGAAAACGCCTGAGAAACGCAGCAATCGCGCAGAACTCGTTATCGACCGCCGAAGGACAAAAGATGGGGGGTTCGTCTTTGTGTCTGAGAGCGTGTATATGTGGCTGTTTCTGCTGGAATTTGGGTGGTCGAGTCGATATCTCGACACTCGGGAGAGCAGCTACGCCCTTCTCACAATTACGGCATCGAGCCGAAATTGATGTATGGCGAAGCTGTCGGAGCGCCTTCTATGCAGTCATGCATACGCTCATTCGAGTGCACTTCGATCCAATCATACTCGCTGACGTCATCGGGGTAACGGAAGCGCATGACTTCTAACTCGATTATGGGAGGAAGCTCGCCCACATTCCACAGGTCCATGGAATTGTGGACAAATCGTAGTTTTCAAATCGTACTAGGCTGTTTTGCCTGAGGACAGAACTGCAGCCTAGTTTATAATAGCTACTGTAGGCTCAACTTTTCGTGAATTCGCCTCACTTGCACGCCTACCCCGGGAGCTGTGAACTACACCATAAAATCAAACACTCCCTCCATTATTTCTAAAGCAATCACACGTAAAATATCCGCAAAAGTTGCATTGATAAAGGCTAAAAATAGTACATATTCTTCTCAAAACACTATTCCTGAACTTCGGCATAAGTCGTCACAAAGCGATTTTGCAACAGAATGTAAGCTTCGATACTGAGTACAACAATTCTGCAAAAATAAGCTATCTTGAAAGATAAACAAGAACTGCAAAACTTCTTACACCAAAACTCAGGGTAAGCAGGAGAATCTAATGATTTATTTGCCGATCTGCAAGCGAACAGAAGGAAGCATTTGAGTAATTCATCATATTTTGCCGTCGTCTTGCTCAATATCTTCGAAACCTAGGAAGCCTTCAGCAAAACACAGATAAGGAAATTGGTAAACTATAGTACAGTATCGCGTCCCTAGATAAAACTAGCGAGTGGGCAGGTGCCCTTGAACAGATCTCACGGTATCTTATCATCGAGCAATCGCGGTCAACGCAAGAAGTTATTGTTACCGAAGCGTGCACGGATAGTATGAAAGGAGAACAGAATATTTGAGTACATTTTTTTAGGTGAAACTTTCAACATGAGCTTGTCTAGAAAAGCTGCAGTAACAGGAAGACGTGATTCAACCACCCATCACGTTAAAATGGCCAGATAGTGCCCTCTCTTCAGTTGTACAGAACGAATGTGGAGAGTGTAAATTGTATGCGCCAATCAGGTTACACGTAGCCATCTGTCAACAGTTGGCAACAACAAAGTACGAGCCTATCGAAGAGAACACCAGAGAAAAACGAGAAATAAAAGTGGAATCATCGATTTGTTGATTGAAAAGATTGCGAGATTGCAGAGTCGACTCTCAAATTGACATACAATTGCCCTAGTGCTCATTATTACACTGTTTAGTGTCAGCTAAAAGTTCTGAGAGCTGTTTAGGTGCACTTTTACGCCCTATTCAGCTCTTGCAACTTTTAGTGACATTCAGTTGTGCATAGAGAGCGATGAGCAGTCGTTACGATCTGATTTTTGGTCGAATCATTGCTGAACCCACGGCAAGCAACTTGCCCAATCCGAGAAGATAAATTGATTTTGAGCAGTTTCATCGATTTCTTCCACGCTTTTTTCGTAAGGCAACATACAAAGACGAATATTTAGAAGTAAACGGGCTGACAAGAGCAACCCGATCCGAAATGAATGAACGAAACGATGGGGAGAGAAGGAAGGGAGGATTGCGAGCACAACGCACGGACAACGACGCAGTAGGGAGCCGCGGCGGCGGTACGTGGCGCAAGAAATCGATGATGCGGCCCGCACCTGACTGGCTGCGGCGAAAGTCGCCCCCGACGAAAACCCGCGACGACGACGCTGCTCTCAGGAACTGGGGCACAGCTGTGCGCCCCGTTCTCGTTATCGCCCCTCTTGTAGCAAGCAATATCATTTCCTTATTCCTACATGGGTTCTGTAAATGCATGAAAACCTTTACATAACCGCTGCAGGTGAATATAGTCGCATGCGGATCGATCGATGCGCAAAATGCGATAAATTACGGGCTTTTCTTTCTGATGTCAGTGTCCCCCACCTGCAACGAAATGACCTTCGTATGTGTTTTTCTTTCGAAAAGAACCCTCGAGAAGATTTATCGATTTTTGGACATATTGCTTGTTTTATTTGGCCAATGTCACGTCAATCCATGTGGGTCCACATATTATAAGTAGACTATAAAAACTTGCTTGTGCATCGTATACGATTCATTAGCAATCGTAGTGTTCTTTTACACTTGTTTGAATTCAGAAAAGAAATAAATTATTACTAATGAGCAATCTTTGACCTAATCATGCAAGATTCAACAACGGCACAGTAGCAGGTTCTCAAACAACAGCAACTGGCACATAAAGTAGTTAATAAAGAAGCATAAAGCAAATAAAGAAAATGTAAACATAAGGAGAAAAGGAAGTAAGAGAATCATCTGATTCGGGCGTACCTCTCAACTGGAACGAACACCACTGACGCGTTGATAATCTATTAACACCTAAAGAAGTCGGGATCAGAAAGAACAGGTTACAGGAATAAAAATACTGAGTCGTAGACTTTGAAAACTGAAGAGAAAGTGAAGGATTGCGTTGAAATTCGTGGCACAAGCACAGTGGTCCGATATGGAAAATCTATACAAGTCCTTCAAATTGGGTCGGTTAGAGCGCAATTTCTTAGATGGATGTAAGGCAGGTGCTATACTCCTCGAGGAGTATAGCATGGCGACGATCGATATGCATCAAATGCGTGTAAAACCAGCGATTTTTGTCGCCGATATTGGCGATCGCCAGTCGCTACGACGGGCGATCGCCAGTCGCTACGACTGGCGATCGCCAGTCGCCAAACAAGTTAACGTTAAGTGTTGAATGTGAGAATCACTGGTCTTGCAGTTCATTCTTTTTAAGGCGACCTCACCGGCTGGTGAGTACTTTGAAATGGAAGTGTGAAATGAATAATGATCGCCAATATCGGCGACTACACGTTTGATACGTATCGATTAGCGACGGGCGATCGCCAGTCGCTACGACGGGCGATCGCCAGTCGCTACGACTGGCGATCGCCCGTCGCCATGCTATACTCCTCGAGGAGTGTAGCACCTGCCTAACTGACATGGATTGTTTCTTTGTGTGTTTAAAAACATTGCAGCAGCTGTATGTGTTTAAAAACATTGCAGCAGCTGTATACCATTTCGCATCACCTTCTGACGAACATAAAGATCGAAGGCAACCTCATAATTATGCCTTTTCGTCAGCAACACAGCTTGCAAAATGCGGAGAAAATCGATGAAACATTTTATTCGTGGTTAGATCTTGCATGATAGGAAAGCGTGTTCCGACCCATTCTCCCTCCTTTGTCCAGGCAACGGCATTCACATTCGGCAGCAAATGGCTATGTTTTAACCGCTGCAGCATGCTTGTTTTCCATCGATGCGATGACTAATTCGTGGCCAATTGCTATGCAATGCATTTGTCCAGCGCGAAAAACACGCCTCAATCGTGCAATGTCGACCGAGCGCTACCGTAATCGCGCCGCGGTCGCATTCTCTCGTTATGTGCGCTGACTCACATCGCGCCACGATCCTCTTCAACGCCGAGTAGGCCGCCGCGCGCATTCCCAAGCATTTCTCGCCGATCGAGGGCGTCGTCACGACCGCGCGCATACATCGATCGCAGCGCGAGTGCGTCCTTCGCCATCTCCTCGTCGCGCAGCGATGAAGTTTGTTTTGCTGCTGCGCTGCATGGGTGTGTGTTCGCCCAATGCTCTGCACACTTCGCTCGCTCTCGACTCGATTACGGTATTCCCGAATCGACAATTAGTGTCGTGCACGTAAGCTCACTGGTGCATGCGTGCAACGCTATCGGCGCCTCATATGTCTTTATGTGCTGTCAAGTCATAGAAGTTTCCGATCCCCTATATGGTACCACATGCTTCTTTTTTGCTAGTATGCACGCAATTTTGACACAATTCAATTTTCGTTACTGACAGGGAAGAATTGTAATCACATTCTGATGCACAGTATAGTTCTCTGCCCCGAAACCGGATAGTGTTGGAAACAAACATAGAAATTGTCCAAGACTTCTTGTATCTTTCTGGTATTTTATATGCTAAATACGTTTCATCGAAGAAGTTGCATTGCCAGTATAGTTCCAAGCCACGGTAACAGACACAAATTGTAGAGTTCTCTTTCTTAACACTCGCTTTGTTTCATTATTTTATTCAGGAGTGTGCGGCTAGGTGATCATGCGTCACAAATCTAAAAGTATGGACTTTATGGACTGTTCTGACGACGAAGACAGAAGTCATCCGCGCGTGCACTCAACAAGTCAGAACTGGTGCTTGAACTCATTTCGGACGAAAGTTCTTGGAACGAAGGAAAGAACATGTTCAAACTCGTTAGGCATGCGTGCGCGTGCAATTTCTAGTCTCCCAATCCATGCAAGTCCAATACAGCTGGTATCAGCTGCGATCGTTTTTGCATCTGTGCACTTTGGTTGGTTTGCTCAATATGCTCAAATGCCCATAATAGCAGTCCTATTAACAAGATGATAACAACTCGTCTGTGTACTGTTTTATGACTTCGCTGTCAAAAATAGTGCAAATGCCAAAAATAGTGCAAAGTGCAATCTCGTTGCAAACATCACTTTAATTCAAACCGCTTTTCGGAACACCAGCAGTGCATTTGCTTTTGGAGAAACATCATCCGCAACGTATACTAATCTTTTCCACATTCTTGCGATAGGTAGGTATTTGCGACGCGTGTTTTGCACTGGAGCGCGATCAATCTGTGAATACCTAACATCCGAATGCTGCTGGTATACAGTCGATGTCAATTACGTACTCCCTTTCGCATGGGAACTACGCATGCGCAACGCAAGGGTCCCGCATGCAGACCTTCACTCGATAAGGCCCATTTAAATGCCCGAGTCATACGCGCGCGAACGTGGCGCGAAGCTCACTGCATTTACGGAAAAGGGAGCACGTGGTTGACACGGACTGTATATGTTCTCTTACCTAAATGAACAGTGGCACTCCATACTGCCTTCGCCTGACGGGCTTACAGGGATTGAATTAACCCAAAAGCTTACCCGAATTCGCTATATAGGTGTTACTATCGTTAGTGTTTGGCACATATTATTTGGCTAATCTGTTCCAATCTTTTTTTTTTGTTTTAGCGCATCCTAGAGTGTAAGAATAAATAAATAAATAATTAAACAAATAAATAATCATGGTGGAATACATGATGTGCTGTGCTCCATCGCTATGCCGGGCAGTCATTTTTTAGGCGTCTGTAAACGGATTATATCGTCGATTCGTTGACCGCACGGACTGCTCAAATGCTGCGGACGTTCGCGCGACGCGGCTGAATTGTCGCGAGAGCACGACTTGTATAAGCTCCTGCACGACGAAGGCGGTCGGTTCGATGTGCGACGTGGCTGTGACGCGGCTGTGACGCAGCAGTGTCGCAGCCGCGTTGCACATCGAGCCGACCGCCTTCGTCTTGCAGGAGCTTATACAATGACGAGTTTATATTGGGGCAAGCGTTTTACCTCGCGGCGCGTGCTCCGCAGTGATGTCGTCCGTGCGGTGAACGAATCAACTATACGGTGATTCCGTTGTTACATGCAAATAGTCATCGCACCCTCCCCCACCTTCGATTACTGTAATTTGCATTCAAGTATCATCCATTGTCTCTGCATTTCTGCTCTCTGACCTAAACGCAATAAGTTCCATTGTTTTTCTGCATCTGTTTTCATTCGATCCACTTTACTGAATGGTCATCAATCTTCCAATCTTGCCAGTGATTCACAAACTTGCTCGCTGTGCAATTTCACGTTCAGCGAAACGAAGGAACAATTTACACAATGCGGCAGAAGTTTGTCGTGTGTTGGTGTGATGCAGCGCAAATCGAACAGAATACGCGATCCGGTTTCATCCACTTTACACCGCAATAGGAAAAGTGCAATGTGTACGAAATCATGAAGCGTCAATGTAAACGCCGACACAGCCCCGAAATCGAATTGTGGACCAGTTCTACGCCTCGGTCGAATCTCAAGCGAATGTCACTTCGAACATGAGCGAATCAAGCATTCGTTGCCGCAATTTTTTTTGCGCAGCACGCCCCACGAGAGAGTATCGCGTGATTGGCTTGTAAAACCTCTTTGTTTCGTAAATCAATTTCTGCGATAAAACAAAGTGCAACGAAATCTCGTTGTCACGTTATTCGGCACCGTAGTCGCGTATCGATCATTCGATAATGCGATTCGTGCGTTTGCCGAATTTTCGCCGCACTCATGAATCATCCGTTATCAGGACGTTGCATCGAGATTGCCATTATTGTCACGTGTATGTGTGTGTGTGTATGTGTGTGCATTAACCGTCGTACTGTACCAATGCAAAACATTGACTTCATTTCGTTTATGTGCAGATTATCGCGCGATAGTGGCGCTGCTTCGACAAAATAATACTCGCTGATCGCTTCGTCCTGGCATTTGCAAATTTTGTATCGTTAGGATACATATGAAGTGCACATGTGACCATTTCCTCCTCACACGCAGTGCAGGTGCACGAAACAGCGTTTGCTAAATTTAAAAGCCAATACTTACACAAACCACCCACGCCACAATCGTCAATGTAAGCTAATGGGTCTCCCACAAAATTCATTCAACGTCCGTACGTACATTGTTATCTATATTCCTTTGTAGAAGCACATTTCGTCACGACATACCCTGTCACACCTCTACCAATTTCCTAATGGCAACAACTCTTTTCAGTCCCTCAAGTTTTCAGGGATTTTCCCTGTTTTCTTCTCTTTTAGTTTAGATATGTATTACATAGTATTACATTCTCCACAGTGTGTTCTTCCTGTTCCCTTTTCAACGTTACACTTAAGCTATACCACGATTACGAAAAAGTGTTAGTATAGGGTCAGTCGTCCCAGACATGCAAAGAAAAGTAAAATGCTCGTACTTCGTTTAAGCAAAAAAAAATCCTAAATACAAGGTAATGTGCCAATTAGCAACAAAAATATATCTACCCAATGCTAGTAAATGCATAAGACTGCTGAATGTAAGTTGGAACGCTGTTGGATAATCGAAGCGGTTCAAGCAAGGGTATTGGCTCCAGCTAGGTACCCACCAACCTCCCCAAACCTTGAACACAACAAATTCAAAGTAGAACCATTTGAGGTTAAAAAAAGTGGCTCTCAGTTGGTGCATTCGTACCTGGGTTCATGGTCTCTTCCACATCAATCTCAAGTAGGCCAACCAACAGCGCGTCGTCGCTTACCGTGCGTACTGTGCAGGCTCACAACTCACAAATGATTTGTGCATATAGTAATTTTCAGTCTAGGCGGAAATTGGACTGGCGGGAGTCCGCTTCGCAACGTTTCGTGCCGCTAGGCAGTCTGCGTCTCTTCTTATAATCGATCTCGCTGAGCCAGTGGTATGCGGACGCGCTGCTTCACTTGAAATGCTTCGTCTACTCCGGGTTGAATAAGACTGTACTCTCTGATAACCATGGCCTCTTTGACTACAGGTTGCAGAGGTAGAAGTGGAAGAAAATGACCACTCACGCTTTGGTGACTCCAGACAAGCTCATCACAAATTTCAAGTCGCTGTATTGTAATCAAGAAGGTCGTTAGCATAAGTCTCATGAAACCTTTTTATAAATGGACAAAGTTTGTGCTAATCGGACCTCCAAAGAAAAAAATACGGGCAGTACAGTTGATTTTAGTAATTTTAAAAATTAGCAACGAGATGCATGGAGAAGCTGGATTAGCACAAACTTTGCCCAGGTAGAAAGAGGAGGCGAAAAAAGTTATGCAACTTATGCTCAATTTCCTTAGGATCTTGACCAAAAAAACGTCCTGTCTCTTTCCTGCATCTGTGTCTGCAGTATGTGTTTATTGGAGCCACCAAGGTGCTACCTGATTTCTTTTTTCTGATATGGTTAATGTCAAGTCAAATCATCGGTGGTTGGAAGTTAAGATTTATAAAAAATGGCGCGACAGATTTTTCGGACCAACTGATAGGTATCGCTCAAAAGTCAGATAGTAGCCTTGCATCTTTCTTCTCTCGGTGCTATACAAACAGGGTCAGGTCACAACATTAGTCGTTGTTTGCGAAAAAAAAAATGCTTAGAAATCCGCAATTCTGTACTAAGTGATTTTCGTGTATTATATCAGTAGTTACCCTTGTGCACTATTTTGGGCAGCTGCTGTTTTATGTATGGGCTATGAAACTTGCCCAAAATCGGTGATCCGCGACGACCGCTCACCCATAGGTCGCTTGGCACCTTTTCCCCCTCCCCCTTCCCATCCAATTTAATCATGTATCATGTCTTATAATAAGCCGCTCAATCTGTCGCTGTGTCGAGTTTGTCTGTTATGAAAATGCAGTTAAGAATGATATACGGTGATTCGCTAGGGAAATGGCATAATGAGAGAGGTTCATTTTTTTTTGTTTGAGACTGTAGCGGTCTGTGCCGACATTGTCGGCACTTCCTTACAGCCGTGCCATTCCTCGCCAGATTACCGTAAAGGTCATGCCATAAGCATGACCTGCTGTGATATGAGAGTGTTTATTGCCCAGATGAGCGTCAACTTACTTTGCTCCGCCTGTAATCGTTAGCATTCTACCACTGCACGAACGGGTGCATGTCGTCTGACTCAATGAAGCTACTATTAGCTATGTGT